TACACAAAGGTCTGTAGGTTCTCCCTATATTAAGAATAACAACTGCATCTATTGATAGGATTTTTGAGAATGGTTATAAGCTTTTTTTTTTTTTTTTTGCTTCTATTCTCCCCATTCCTGTTTCCCCCAACCCATTTTTGTTATTGTTGTAGTGTATCTATGTTATCTGGGCATTTTGCTGTTACAGTACTGTATTCTTTCTTTTAACTTTTTCTGTCATTTATGCAAATAACTATTTAGTGTGCTTACTTATGTAAGCTCCTCATTCACTTTGGTTGAAATCTGTCTTACATTAGCAAAAGCTTGAAATCTGAATTTTCTGAATTATTACATGTGACTTATGTTTTTGTTCTTTATACTGGAAAATCGTGTTGTTTAATGTAAAGTTCTGATCTGTGTATGCTTGAGTGTGTTAAATACATTGCTTCATTTTCTTGTCACTTGTAATTTTACTGTCGAAACATCTGATGATCTAGTTTTTCTTATAAGTCAGTCTTTTTTTCCTTATTTATTTTTTTGTGACAGGCAGAGTGGACAGTGAGAGAGAGAGACAGAGAGAAAGGTCTTCCTTTTGCCGTTGGTTCACCCTCCAATGGCCGCCACGGCTGGCGCGCTGCGGCCAGCGCACCGCGCTGATCCGAAGCCAGGAGAAGCCCCTGGTTCTCCTGGCCTCCCATGCGGGTGCAGAGCCCAAGGACTTGGGCCATCCTCCACTGCACTCCCGAGCCATAGCAGAGAGCTGGCCTGGAAGAGGGGCAACCGGGATAGAATCCGGTGCCCCAACCGGGACTAGAACCGGTGTGCCGGCGCTGCAAGGCAGAGGATTAGCCTATTGAGCCATGGCGCTGGCCACAAAAAATATTTTTAAACTTAAAATTTAGTAGTTTTACTAGAATATATCTTGGTGTTTGTTATGCATAAAATATTTAAAAAAATTTAACTAGAATGTGTCTTGGTATTTGTTATTCTGGGTCAGTATTCTCAGATACACCGTGCAGTTGATAAGAATCTTTAATATTGTTTCTAAGAATACTGATCCAGAAGATTTTTATACAGCTTCAAATAATTGTTTTCTTTTTTTATGCTTGTTCTGTAGCCTTCATTTTCAGAAACCCATATTATTCATATGTAGGATTTTTTTTGACTATCTTTTGATATTCATAATTTTCTCCATTTTATTTTTTTTTAAGATTTTTATTTATTTATTTGAGAGGTAGAGTTACAGACAGTGAGAGGAAGAGACAGAGAGAAAGGTCTTCCTTCCTTTGGTTCACTCTCCAGATGGCTGCAACGGCTGGAACTGCGCCGATCCGAAGCTAGGAGCTTTTTTCTGGTCTCCCACGTGGGTGCAGGGGCCCAAGGACTTGGGCCATGTTCTGTTGCTTTCCAGGCCACAGCAGAGAGCTGGATTGGAAGAGGAGCAGCTGGGACTAGAACCAGCGCCCATATGTGATGCCAGCATTGCATGCAGAGAATTAACCTATTGTGCCATGGAGCCAGCCCCTCCCTTTTATTTATTTTTTTTAATATATATTTGAAAGGCATTGAGACAAAGAGAGATCTTCCATCCCCTGGTTCACTCCCCTAAGTGTGTGTGACAGAGCTGTACCAATCTTAAGTCAGGAGCCTGGTATCTCCTTTACGGGTGGCAGGGACACAAGAACCTGAGGCATCTGTCTTCCAAAGTGCACATTAGCAGGAACTAGATTGACCAGATTGGAAGGCTAACTAGAACTCAAACCTAGGGACTTTGATGTGGGGTGTGAACATCCTAAGCACTGGCTTAACTGCTGTAGCAAATAACTGCTTCCATCATTTTCTCTTAAATACATGCTTAAAAAAGATGGTCTACACATTCGCTCCAATATATCTCTGCACCACTGCTGCATACATTTATTTCCACATTGTTTTATAATTCGTTAGTGTTATTAACTTCCATAGGAATATAATTAATTTTCTACTAAACTTCAATAAAGAGTAGTGGGTTGATTTTAGGAAAAATTATTTTTCTTACATAAATTTGTTCTCTTGACAAAAGGATAAATAGAGTCTAGGTAAATACCTGTGTTTTGAAAAATTTTAAAAAAGGTAGTATTTGAAGTTGATAAGTTGGTTGCTAATGTTTGGACAATACGGGAGTGCTTGGGAGCACAGAAAAGAATGGTAATCCAAGAAATGCATTTTATTATTTAAATTTTAAGATGTAAAGCACGGTACTAGCCTGTTTTCCATTGGTGTATGAAATACCTGAGACTAGGTAATGTATAAAGAAAAGAGCTTTATTTAACTTGCAGTTTTGGAGGCTGAAAGTGCAAATAACATGCATTGGCACTATAGAGTGCCTTTCTGGCTCCATTACACCATGGGGGATGTCATCAGCAGGATCATGATGAAAGACAGGTGGGTAGGGCTGGTGTTGCTCTTTTATGACAGTGCTTTCTTAAACTAACCATGATTCCACAGGAACTACATCATTTTTTTTCCAAGGGCAGTGCCCAATCTTACCCAGTTATCTCTTTAAGGTCTTTCCACTACATAATACCACCACACAGGGGACCAAGTTTCTAATACATGGATTATTAGGGAACAAGCTGCATCCAAACCATATGTCTTGAACATTTTTGGGGTATATAATCTTGTCCACTTCAGTAGGAAAGAGAAAAATTAATGGAAAGTAGGAGAAACTAAGAAATAATTTTTATCTTTTTCATACTAAATTTTTCAATATTCCTTTTTACTCCCTTTAAGGCTTTGTTTCTTGTATTTGTTCATCCTGTGTCCTTTTAGTCTTTATTTTGAACTGATTTTCTTCATCAATTTTTTTTAAATTGTTTCTCATTTCTTAGTTTTGTAATTCTGTTTTATGTTACTCTTCCATGCTAGTGTCATTTTCTTGGTATCTTTGAGCTCCAGTAAAAGGTTACAGTTTTCATCTTTTCGAGGGTATTTGAACTCAATACTTGGCTTTTGCTCATTTTTATGTGAAATTAATTTTCCTGAACTTTTAGGAACGGTAAGTTTCAGTGACGTTGTTAAAACTTTACAGTGGTTCCTTTTCTGATATTTTCTTAAGAAATTTGGCAGCTTGCTTTTTGCTGTTTTCTGGCTCTAATTACACTCTTCCAATTTTAAATGAATCTTCTCATTTGTTTATATCCATTGTCATTATCCTGTTCAATTTTGATTTCAGTCCAACTGCATTGCAAACAGTTCTTTTTCTTCTCCCCTTACGTTGCTCCACCTGCACCCTCTGTTGGTAGAGTTTGGTTACCAAACTAAATGAAAAAGAGAAATATAGTCTGCAAAGCCAGTTCCAGCATCATCACAAAGTAGGGTAAAGAAGAGTGGATTTGGAACTGAGAGGAAATAAGTAATGTGTACACCAAGTTTCTGCTTTGAAAAATGACTTCCAGTTTCTTTGAGGTCCATGTGTTTGTATGTTCTGCTATTAATATCTGTCTGTACTTGCATCTGCTTGTGAGCTTGCAGTTTGTTAAAATTTGTTGATACCAGTTACTCCTTTAATCTTTTATTCCTTTCCTGCCATTAATTAGGTTGGCTAAAAGGAAGTGGGTGAAGCACAAGTGTGTGTTTATTCTGTTGCCTTGAACTAGTCTTTCGTTTTACAAAGACATACACACTTCCACTTCCAATACTAATCAGACCTGAATTCATGTGAGATAGTTTCAACTCAAATATAAATGGTAACATCAGCTTGTACTCAGATATGTGTTTGATAATAGGCCAAATTTATCCATTTTACCCAGTCATCCTTATGATAAATTATTTTTCGAGACTTTCATTGAAATTTGAAAATTATTCATATGGGAATGTCACAAAGTTGAAATGGATTCCTAATGGGAAGGTATGTAGTGAAGCTATGGCTTTAGGGCCCCCTATTAACTGACCTTGCCCAGCATGAGAAGATGTAGGAGTGTGTGTGGGCAGCCACACAAGAACAGATATATTTTTGCATATGGGAACCATAATGTTTGTTCCTAATGGTATTTTTTAGTATTGGTGTGTAGAAATGTAGGAGTATATTTAGGAACTAAGGTTCTACAAAGAACCCATTATTGACTAAAAATATAGTAATTTGTAACTTGAAAATATACAGTTAAAAAACAGAAATGTTTTTTGCCTTTCCTCCAAAAGGTAAATCAAGTGTTTATGTAATGTTATCAATTTATTTAGAGAGCCCTTACCCTTCTTGCCTTCCTTTGTTGCTTGATCTTGATTAAAAGTCTTGATCATTCATTTGCCTAATGTTTGTTTATTATGTCCTGCTCATTATGCTAGGTTCTGGAGAATGGGCAGAAATAGACATGGGGCTTTTATTTTTTTGTCTGAGATTCAAGATGATTGATTTACTTATTATCTTCTCCCACTGTTTTTACTTTACTTCTGTTTACTCAGAGTTTACCATATTCTTCCTTTAGTCACATAACCCTTTTGAGTATTCATTCCCATTGTTTTCTATACTGTGAAGAAAGAGTAATGGAAAGAATGAATGCATTCCATTACATTGTGATTTGTAGAGATAAATTTTAACTTTTTTTTTTTTTTAAGATTTATTTATTTGAAAGGCAGAGCAACAGAGAGAGGAAGAGACACAAGAGATCTTTCTGCCACTGGTTTGCTCCTCAAATGGTCACATCAGCCAGGTCTGGGCCTTTTTGAAGCCAGGAACCAGTAATTGTATCGTAGTCTCCCATATGAGTGACGGGGCTCAAGCGCTTGGGCCATCTTATGTTGCCTTCCTAGGCACATTAGCAGGAACCTGGATAAGAAGCTGTGCAATGGGGATTTGAACAGGTACTCTGAGGTGGGATACTGGCTTCGTTAGCTGTGGCTTTACCCACTGCTCTAAAACCCTGGCCCCTGACCTATTATGTTTTGAAATATAACTTTATTAATCTAATTCAAACTAAAGGGAAAGTTCATGGTTATGAATAAATCTTGAGCTAGATGACATTGTGTTTTCATGTTTTGTTTTTCAGCTTTGTGTTTTCTAGCTCATCTGTATCTCAAACATCCAACGGAAATTAAGTGACAGGCACTTAGAATACTTCTTCCTCTCTTCTGTTCATAATACTGCAGGATACTTTCATGTTCTGGTAGTATGGGAATGGTGAGTCTCTGTTTCTCTCATTTCCTATTAGTTGATTGGCAATAGCTCTGTGACTTAGGGTGTGAAGACATTCTCATAAATTAGAAAGTTAGTTTTAAATCTGAATTACCCTTTAAACCTCAAGTACTTGGCAATACATTTCCCATCCGTACAGCAACCGGTGAAGTAGAGTAGACTAGGTAAATGTTTTGCAGACGCTTCAGGCTAGACAGGCTTCTAGAGGGGTCAGAATTTCTACTTGATGTAGAAAACTAATTGTAGTTGAAGTTCTTAACGAGTTTGTAAGACTTCTGAATGCTAAAGAAGGAAAGATGTGGATACTATAACAGATCTGGTTTTGGAAATTAATTACAGGTATGTACATAAATCGAATAAAATTATTTCTACTCTTATTTTTTAGCTAGTTCATTAAAAGATAATAATTTGAAATGAATGTGATCCCTGTGACATAGTTTTGAATGGGTTTCCAAAGTGGTTATCTAACTATAAAACTCATACTGTGAAGTCAATGTTCAATAAACAGTCCAATAATGTATACAGTTCATATTAACTGTACTAGTAACTGGTTAATTAAAAAGTGCTGGTTAAAGTTAGTAGACTAGAAATTTTATGAAAACTCAACGTTAGAAGCATGAGTTTTGGACTCAGACTATTTTCAAATCCTGTTAACCTGTTAACCTGCTGTTAACCTTGAGCAAGTTACGTAGCCTTTTTTGTGCCTCATTTTCATCATTATAAAATAGTGATAATGATAATCATTCATAGGATTACTAGGTTAAATGAATTAATATGTATACATTAATTAGAACCATACCTGGCATTTACTAGGAACCCATTAAACATTAATCATTAATCATTATTATTAAGTAGTAAGCTAGGTTAGTTAATATATTTGCTATTGGCCTAATTTCAAAAGATGTATATGAAGATGGCTACAAATTTTTAACATTCCTTTTTTTGAAAAGTGGGATCTGTTTCTCTTTCCCTATGAATGTTTTTTTCCCCTGAAAAGGATATATATATATTTCAAGTAACTACAATGGTAAACCACAGAGGGAACCCCAGGCTGGGTCATAAAATGACTATCCCCTCCTGGATGGAACAGGGAGAAGGTAGCCTCTACACCCTTCATGATCAGTCCTGTGATTTTTTTTTTTTTTTTTTAACCAATGTAGTACAGTGGAAATGATGCTATGCTTTAGTTAGTTTTCAATAAGACTGGCAACTTTCACCTGATCTCTTATTGTTCTTTTTTTTTTTCTTTAAATTATTTGTTTGAAAGGTAGACTGATAGAACGAGAGAGGGAGAGACAAAAATCTTCCATTTATTGATTTACTTGTCAAATGGCCATAACAACCAGGTCTGGGCCAGGCCAAATCCAGGAGCCCTGAACTTCATTCAGATCTCCCATGTGGGTGCTAGGGGCCCAAGCACTTAGGCCATCATTTGCTCTTTTCCTTAGCACATTAGCAGAAACTGGATCAAAAGCAGAGCAGCCAGGCCTTGAACCAACAAACTGATACGGGATGCTAGCCAGCATCACAAGTGGCAGCTTAACTTGCTGTGCCATAATGCTGGCTCCTTGACCCTGATCTCTTGAAACCCAAATCTATTATCTTGTGGGAGAGATGGCTTGAAACTACACGAAGTGTAGGGGACTACAAGAAGTGCGAGAAGGACTTGAACACAGCCAAGAAACCAAGCATGTGAACGGGTTGTCAGACCATTGAGCACCAGCTGTAGAGCTTCTAGCTGAGTATCAGAACAACCACCCATTCCATGTCATGTGAAGCAGGGCACCTATACAGCCAAGCCTTCCCTGTGTTACTCATTCACAAGATTTTGTTATGTAGCAAGTGGTTGTTTTAAACTACTAAGTTTTAGAGGGTAGTCAATTACACAGCAACTGTAACTCAAGGTAAGAACACTGAATACATAAGTGTCACATAAGATCACACAGATATTGCTGAAGTTTGAACATAATTTGACGTCCCCACTTATACAGACATTAGATCTCAAAGTTTAACTTAACAATACTAAAGACAGTGGAAACTTGAACCAATTATAACATTTAGAAGGTGAGCTTGGGGGCCTGCGCTGTGGCTCACTTGGTTAATACTCTGCCTTCAGTGCCAGTATCCCATGTGGTTGTCAATTCTAGTCCCAGCTGCTCTTCTTTCAGTCCAGCTCTCTGCTGTGACCTGAGATGGCAGTGGAGGATGGTGCAGGTGCTTGGACCCCTGCACCAGCATGGGAGACCAGGCTTCGGATCAGCGCAACTCTGGCCGTGGGGGCCATTTGAGGGGTGAACCAATGGAAGGAAGACCTTTCTTTCTCTCTCTCACTGTCTATAACTCTACCTGTCAAATTAAAAAAAAAAAAAAAAAAAAAAAAAAAAGGTGGGCCTAGTGGGAGATCCTTAAGACTTTGGGAGCTACTCTGAGAAGATAATTCTTGGGAGAAAGTTGGTTATATAAGCCTAAGTCAGCTGTCTGTCTCTCTCTGTCTTCCCTTTCTGCCTTGTCATGTGATTTCTTTCTCCACACTCCACACTTGTCATTGCCATCCTCTGGCCTCATGAGGCAGCTGAACCAGTGAGAATCAAGTGGTCTCAAACTGTAAACCTCCAAAACTGTGAGCCCTAATAAACCTTCCTTCATAAGTAGCTTGTCTTGGGCATTTGTTATGACAAAAAGCTAATACAGAAAATTGGTGCCAAGGAATGAGGTCGTTATATTAGCTATATCTGAAGATGTGGAGGAGCCTTTGGAATTGTTGGAGAAACAGACTAGAGAAAGTTTAGAATACTGTAAGCAGAGCATTATGGGTGTTTCTGGTGTGGCATTAAAGCTCAGAATGCTGATAAAAATGGACAATAAAGGCCATGCTGATAAGGTCTCGGATGGAAACCTATTTGGAATTAGAGTAGAGACTACTCTTTTTTTATGTGCTGGCTAAGAACCTATCTTCATTGTATCCATGACCAGAGACTTTGTGGAAAACTGAACTTAAAGATGGTGGGCCTTTTTTTTGGCAGAGGAGAATTCAAGGCAACAAATATTCAGGCTGCAGCGTGAGTGTTACTTGCCACTGTTAGTTTTATAATGTGAATCAGGAACAAAGCAGAAATGTGGGAGAATTCCTGGCTAGACTTGGTCCAAGTTCTTGTCTTCATGTGTGAAAGAATTCAATGAGGAGAAATAGAGATGAGCAGGAAAGCAAGATATTTTAGGCAAATGGAAAGTACATAGTCAGATGGGAGTATGGGCAACTTCATGGTAGACAGCTTCAATTAATAAAATCCAAGGTCATCCTTTTATAGAACAGGGGGTGGTATCTGGGGTGGCATCCTTGCCTTATTCATGATTTTAGAGGAAAATTTCTCTGTTGCTTTCCAAGGCTTGCATTGCATGGTGCTTGCAATTTTCCCCCAAAGGCTCTTCACATCACTGGGGAAATCACATCACTTTTCACCTCAACCTTTATGCGCTATCTCTGCTGTGGATTTAACTCCTTTTGCTTTTCTAGGCATTGTCCCATCAGGAGCTCCAACCCTGCTGGACACTCTGCCTGGCCTCCTAGGACTTATTTTGAAAGTGCAACCTGAGTCGCCATGACCCCATAACTCTTTGTTTTTTGAGCACCTGCAAAACCATCACATAGACACTAACGTTAAGATCTGCTGCCAGCAGGAACCTTCACCGGGCCCATTTGAACAGCAGCTGAAGCCCCTGAATGCTTTAGCACTTGAATATGGAGAAACAAATCCCAGAGCAAGCTCACTGAGAGTGCCATGGGGTCCTGGAACCCACAAGGTCTCTGGACTTGTGATGAGAGGAGAAGCCTGGAAGATAACTTGAAATGCTGTGAAGGTCTTTTTCCCATTGTTTTCCTGTTATCACATGACTCCCTTTTACATACACTACATACACTAATCTCTTTAACAGTTTCTCTAGCAGCTCTGTCATGAAAACTTTTTTCTTCCTTTCTACTCCCACCAGACTGGAAATTTCTCTGATACAGGCAGAATAGGAATGAATAGGAAATGAAGATTGCAACTGACTCATACAACCCAAACCCCACCTATTTTGTACAGTTGCAGCTACTGGTGCTGCACAGACTAGAAATATACAACATAACTGCAGGCCTGGCACACCACTGCCCATCATGCACCAGATGAAATGATACTTCCTAATTTTCAAAAAAAAAAAAAAATAAAAAACCAAAAACCAGAAGGGGGAGGAGGGTATACAGAGATGCGTAGTATTTCAGCTCTGCCCCAAACTTCACTTCCACTGCTGATTCAGTCTTTTTTTTTTTTTTTTTTTTGCAGATTGATTGATTTATTTGAAACAGTTACAGTAAGAGGGTGAGATCTTCCATCTGCTGTTTGACTCCCCAAATGACTGCAATGGCTGGATCTAGACTAGGCCAGAGCCAGGATCCTGAAACTCCATCTGGGTCTCCCACGTGGGCACTTGCTTTTGCTTTCTGTTAACATGAAATATCTTTTTTCCATTCTTTCCCTTTCAGTTTGTTTGTATATTTATTATTGAAGTGTGTTTCTTAAAGGCAGCAAATAACTGGGTCTTCTTTTTTCATCTTTTCAGCCACAGTATCTATTAATGGGAGAATTTAGGCCATTTACATTCAGAGTTATTATTGATAACTAAAGACTTGGTCCTCCTATTTTTCCCTAAATATTCTTATTTGTTTTGGATTTCCTTTGTATTTTTACTAGGAGATTTTCTACTTTCAAATTCTTTCCTGATGCTTACTCTCTCTGTTTCTGTGTGTAGCACATCTTTAAGTATCATTTGTAAGGCGGGATGAGTGGTGACAAATTCAATTTCTCATGCTTTGGAAGATCTTTATTTCATATTTATAAATGAGACCTTTTCTCGGTATAGTATTCTGAGTTGACAGTTTTTACTTTTAGTACTTGGTCTGTGTCTCTCCATTCTCCCCTAACCTGCAGGGTCTTGAAGAGAACTGTCAG